TGTGGTGCTGGGGGATTGAACCGCGGTCCCTGTGCTTTGCTAAGCTTGTTCTAAGTAGGTGCTTTAGACCACTGAGCCATCTCACCAGCCCAGTTTTTCATTTTAAAATGCATATTTGCTATAGATAATTGAGAATATAATTCAACTACTGCGAAAGAAATTCTTTTTTCTTTTTTTTTTCTTTGGCGGGAGGAGGGTGCTGGGCATTGAACCAGAGCAGTGTGCATGCTAGATAAGTACTTCACCACTGAGCAAGAAAGAAATACTATAACATTCTGGTGTGTTATCTGTCAGGCATGTGTTCATACGTACTTTCCCCTACCCTAGTTAAGATTATACTGTTTTGTAACTTGTTCTTTTTACTTCATAACATGTTGGCCAACATTTCTGGAAATTCTCTTGACATCTGTAACAACATGCTTTCAGGATTCTTATCTTGATGGACACATTTTTCTCCACTTATTTCCTGTGAGTGGTTCTCAAGTCATAGTCCTTCATATTAATTCCTCCTCTAAAAATCTCATCTCCTGTGAGTTTATCCATTCTAAAACATTCATGCATCATTCTTTAATTGTTGACTTAAACTTTATTCAACAAACCTTAAGTGAGTACCTAATATATGCTGGGTAACAGGCTAGATTTGGGGTGACTCAGAAGTTAACAGTACTGATATGACTTCTGTCCTTTTGGAGCCTTTACTTGGTGGTGGGAGGCAAGTAAGCAGGCAGTTAGGAGTGTAGTAATATGAGAATACCAGGTACCAGGGGGAGTAAAAGAGGCTTCTACCAAAGGAAGTCATCTTAGAGGAAAGGATAGTGAGAAGATAGGCAGGTAATGTGGGAGCAGATGACAGAGGGCGAAGTATGAGCAGAAGTTATCCCTAGGCCCTGGTACTGGCATGGGTTAAGTGTTCAATGGTTGGGAGCTACATCCTACCAAAACATAGACTCCAAAGCAATCAGAAGCATCTATGCCCTAGACTTTGAGGTCTCTTCAAGTAGAAGCTGAATGTCACCGGAATAGAAGAATAATGCTCATTTTGAGGCTTCTTAAAAGAATTTGAGGGGCCGGGGAGATAGCTCAGTAGAATAAGCACTTGCCTGGCAAGTGCAAGGGCCTGAGTTCAATCCCCGGTTCCACAAAAAAAAAAAAAAAAAAAAATTGAGTGAATACAGTATGTAAAGTAGCCTTTGCCCTCACAGGAGTACAATTATAGGAGTAAAATTCAGATAATTTTTATTGCAGTGGAAAAACTTGTAAGCAGAGGTTTTTCTCAGTACAAAAATGAGTTGGAGGGGCCGGGGAGATGGCTCAGTAGGATAAGCGCTTGACTGGCAAACGCAAGGATCTGAGTTCAATCCCCGGTTCCACCAAAAAAAAAAAAAAAAAAAATTCTGTAACAGTTTACATCATCACTTTTCTAAAAAATGAAAATTTACCAAAAATGCTCAAGAACTGACAAATGAGGAGTCTGGTGAGATGGCTCAGTGATCTAAAGCAC